TCATTAAAAAAAAACAAAATTTCTCGTGTCGCACGTAATTTATGGATAAACCAATATTAATTATTTTTTTTTAAAAAAATATATAGTTATGCATATCGGGACGAAATCATTATGTTCTTTCTTTATATTTTGTACATATTATTTATAATTAATTAATGATTATTGTTATAATGATTTTATGGATGCAATTGATATTCAATGATACAATAAAGTTAATAATGTTAAGCAGCGAATCTTTCAAATATTATGATTATCCCTGATCGAGAATCTAATAAATAAGTATAATATAAATATTAAATAAATAATATATTTATTTATATATTTTATTTTATGTTATAATATATATGGCTAATAATTATATTATGTAATACATATAAATATGTTATCCCTTAAACGGTAGGGACGTCACAAGTTACTAATAAATGCGGGCAAATTTGTCTGCGGGATAATACATATAAATAATATAAATAATATAAATAAAAGTTAAGTAACGAAGCATTTAAAAATTCTAATTCGATCTTTATATCCTTCTTGGATGAAAAATCTAATAATAACTTATAAATAATAAATAAATATTTATAAATAATAATATAAATAATAATATAAATAATATGTAAGTAATAATACATAATGAAAGTTACCATGATTACATTCCGAGTTCAAAAGTTAGGAGCTGTATAAACAGGTACGCGAGCCTAATAGTTAAAGTTCACAAATCTGGTAATTGAGTTTGCAAGCCTAATATTGTTTTCTATTTTTTTTAGTTCGATTAAAACTCAATGCTAGAAAAATCTATTATTGTAGTCTTCGACTTGACGAATATCGATTCTCAAAACCACCATTGTCGAACCGAGTCAAATAAGGTAAGCTCGCGCGGGAGATTTATTTCTATTTTAATATTGAATAATATTTGTGTTATTTATTTTTGTTATTCTGTTATTTTTGGTATTTTATTATTATTATTACTCTGTTATATAACAATATAAATTTTAATTTTATTTAGTAAAATACTTCATTCATTATTTGTATAGATAATCTATATATAAATAGACAAAGATAGATATAAATTTCATCGGGTCTATTCAAGGATCATTTGTGTATATATATAGTATATATAGAGTGATTTTAATAAAATTTCTTATAAATATTTAATATAATAACATGAGACTTAATAAAAATTGAAATAAAATAAAATAATAATAATAAATAATAATGATAAATAATAAATAATAATAAATAATAATAGAAATTATAATAATAAAAATTATAATAAATAAAAATTATAATAAATAAAAATTATAATAAACAACAACAAAAAATAAATATTATCATTATTGTTAAATATTCTTCTTATTTTCTGGTTAAAAGAAAAAAAAATTTAAATAATTTTATGTAATCTTTTTCAATTTATGAGTTGTTCCTGCAATACGAGTATCCAAATCATTAGTCTTATTCGAAATACGATCGAGGACAACATTTTGTTTTCTAATCTCATCTCCTGATGCCACAGCCTAAATATTGAAGAATTTTATTATTAAATTAAATTTTATTTTAATATTATGATTATTATTCAATGTAATAAATAAATATATTAATCAAATATATTAATCATCAAATATATTAATCATCAAATATATCAATCAAATATATTAAAAGATAATTACCATTGCATTCAATCTAGACAAACCCGATGAAAGTGCATCCAAATTATTATCTATTTGATCTTCTAATCGATCATCTTCTTCATCGGCTTCAAATTGGAATCGACTTCGAGAAGTTGATTTAGTTGATGTTGATGAATTATTTGGTCTTTGA